AAAAAAAAAAAAAAGTTCCGGTCAAACAACCCTAATAAAATTTTTTTATTAATAATATTTAAATAATTTTATAAAAATTTTAACGTTTAAAGTATAAAATATCTTAATTTTCAATTTTTCACCTTAAATTTAATTTTATAAAAGAAAAAAAAATATAAAACTTGCCCAAAAATAAAAAAGTGAAAAAAAAAAAAAAAAGTTCCGGTCAAACAACCCTAATTAAAGGCTCGCTGCCTTTTGTTTCCCCTCTGCTCTTCCAAAGCTGTTCTCGTTTCCTCTCTGCCCTTCTCAGAATTCAAATTGTGTTTGCAATCGTGTTTCTTTCTACGTCTGCACTTGACTTGCATACATAATGGCTGAGGCCGTTGTCACCTTCGTCGTTAACCCTCTTATTCAGCAGGCACTCTCTATATTCGCTTCACCGCTCGACAGTAGAATCAGACAACTCTGGAATTCAGGGGATTTGAAGAAGGAGCTGGACAAGCTGAAGGTGTCGCTCGGATTGATAGAATCTGTGCTAAAAAATGCTGATCAAATGCAAAGTGATGAAGGCACAAGGGTTTGGCTGCAGAGTCTCCAAGATGCAGTTGATGATCTGCGTGATCTGCGGGATGAGGATGCATATGGAGTAAACCGGCATAAAGGTTGGATTCAAAGCCAATTCAGGAAACAGGTGCACAATTTCCTTTTTCCCTCCAAATCCATGCTTAGCAAAATGAAGGAGGTTAATGAGTCTTTCCATAGAATTGTAGAACAATCAAATTGTATTAGACTGATAAAAGACAACCAAAATCTTCAAGTTCCTAGGCTAGAAGAAGCTGATGAGTCAATTCATAATTCTGAAGTTTTGCAAAGGGATGCTGATGTCTTAAAAATTGAAAGATTGCTGGATGAGTCCAGCCAGGCACATCAACTCTCTGGCCTTTCCATCGTTGGCATGACAGGTGTTGGAAAGACAGCATTAGCTGGATCAATACGTGAGAGGGCAAGGAGTAATGTCCTCTATAATCATGTGGTCTGGATGTCGGAACCCGAGGATTTTAAAAGAGGGACGATTTTAAGACATATGTTGGACTGTGTTGATAGTCATGCTGGTGGAATGCAAAGTTCCTATGCAATGGAATGTCATCTTGAAAAATTGTTTCCAAATAAAAAAATTCTTCTCATCCTTGATGGTGTATTGAAGGAAGATGCTCAGAGGTTGCAACTGTTCATCTCTTATCTGCCAAAAAGGTTCAAAACTACCAAGATCTCTGTTGTCATAACAACTAGTAATAAAGAGGTAGCTTCAATAATGGGCACAATTGGTTTGCATAAGCATGAATTGCAAAAGCTATCAGATGATGACTGCTGGTTGATAATGGAGGAGAATGTTCGCAGTTCGTCCAATGGAACTCCAATAGAAGATCCACAGTTGTTGGATATTGGAAAAGATATTGCAAAACAGTGTGGGGGTTTGCCATTAGTTGCAGCTGTCTTTGGCAAACACTTGGGCGCTCGTATTGGGGTCAATGAGTGGTCAGCTATCAGAGATAATAAAGCATGGCATGCACCACATAGACTGGAGATTCTGTCTCACCTGAAAAAAAGTTATGATCACTTGCCTCCACTTTTGAAAGGATGCTTTTCCTTCTGTTCAATTTTTCCAAAAGAAAAAATTGTTAAAATTAGTAGAGATGAATTAGTTCAGTGTTGGATGGCTAATGGGTTTCTTCCCCACAGCAATTCAGATAAAGAAGAGGATGTTGGTAACAATTACTTCAATGATTTGGTATCCAATTACTTATTGGAAGACGTGGAGATGGATGAGTGTGGGAATATAAAGTTTTGCAAGATGCATGATGAGGTGCATAATCTTTCATTGCTCTCAGCAAAATATGAAACATGTATTTGGCCGGATACCCCTCAAGTTGAGGACAGTGTTCGGCATTTGAGGGTTAAGTCTAATGGAAACTCTCAAACTGTTCCAGAAGATGTTCCTCAAAGGTTGCACTCTTTGTTCCTGGATGTTGATGTTTTGCGCCTGATGCCTAAGAAGTCCAGAAGTTTGCAATCTTTAAAGCTAGCAGCTGCTGATGCAAATGGGTTGCAATCTTCTCTTGGCAGATTGAAATATTACATGAAATACCTTGACATATCAGAAAGTGCAATTGAAAGGCTACCAAAATCTGTCTCCAAGCTCTACAATTTGCAGACTTTAAGATTCACAGGCTGCAATTCATTGGAAAAGCTCCCAAGTGGTATTGAAAATCTAGTCAGCTTGAGGCATATTTATTTTGATGAAAGTTATGTGCCAAGTAGCATTGGGAAATTAGCTTCTCTTCAGACTCTACCGCTATTTGTTGTGGGCACAGAAAAGGGTCGGACAATTGAAGAGCTTAAATCTTTGAACCAACTCAGAGGAAAACTGAAAATTTGCAAGCTTGAGCTAGTATCATCTCAATCAGAAGCTAGAGAAGCAAGACTTGAAGATAAAGGAGAATTGATCAAGTTGCAATTTGTATGGAGTGAAAACAGAGCCAACAATCCTGAAGATATGGGTGTTCTGGAAGGTCTTCAACCTCCCTCAACATTGAAAAGCTTAACCATTGAGAATTATAGGGGAGGTAACTGCCCTTCATGGATGATGAATTTGAAACAGCTTGTGAAGTTGAAATTGATTGATTGTGATGAATGTGGTAATATTTCATGCCTTGAACGCTTACCTGAGCTTAAGGTTCTCAATATACAGGCAATGCATAATGTGAGTAGGATAGGCAGAATGTCTTATCATCAAAGCAGCAGCCAAGGTGAAGGAGAATCAATCCTACCAGTTCTAGCTTTGAGAAAACTAACATTAAGGAAGATGACAAAGCTGGAGGGATGCGAAACAACACAAGGCATGGTTGTGTTTTCTTGCCTTGAGGAGTTGCACATTGGGGATTGCCCGGAGCTCAAAACATGGTGCGCAAGCAACAGCCAAGGCAGAGGAGATTCAATTATACCATTTCCAGTTTTGAAAAAACTTACTTTAAGCAACATGACAAAGCTGGAGAAATGGACAGAAGCAGAAGGCATGGTCGTGTTTCCTTGCCTCGAGGAGTTGCATATTGAGCATTGCCCTGAGCTCAAAACATGGTGGGCAAGCAGCAGCCAAGGTGAAGGAGAATCAATCCTACCATTTCCAGCTTTGAGAAAACTAACGTTAAGTAAGATGAC